AGCGAAAAACGTTAGAACATAAGAACACGAGAAGAACGTTAGAACATAAGAACAAGCGAAAAACGTTAGAACATAAGAACACGAGAAGAACGTTAGAACATAAGAACACGCGAAAAACGTTAGAACATGAGAACACGAGAAGAACGTTAGAACATAAGAACAAGCGAAGAACGTTAGAACATAAGAACACGAGAAGAACGTTAGAACATAAGAACACGAGAAGAACGTTAGAACATAAGAACACGAGAAGAACGTTAGAACATTAGAACACAAGAAGAACGTTAGAACATTAGAACACAAGAAGAACGTTAGAACATTAGAACACGAGAAGAACGTTAGAACATTAGAACACGAGAAGAACGTTAGAACATAAGAACACGAGAAGAACGTTAGAACATAAGAACACGAGAAGAACGTTAGAACATAAGAACACGAGAAGAACGTTAGAACATTAGAACACAAGAAGAACGTTAGAACATTAGAACACGAGAAGAACGTTAGAACATTAGAACACGAGAAGAACGTTAGAACATAAGAACACGAGAAGAACGTTAGAACATAAGAACACGAGAAGAACGTTAGAACATAAGAACACGAGAAGAACGTTAGAACATGAGAACACGAGAAGAACGTTAGAACATTAGAACACGAGAAGAACGTTAGAACATAAGAACACGAGAAGAACGTTAGAACATAAGAACACGAGAAGAACGTTAGAACATAAGAACACGAGAAGAACGTTAGAACATTAGAACACAAGAAGAACGTTAGAACATAAGAACACGAGAAGAACGTTAGAACATTAGAACACAAGAAGAACGTTAGAACATAAGAACACGAGAAGAACGTTAGAACATTAGAACACAAGAAGAACGTTAGAACATAAGAACACGAGAAGAACGTTAGAACATTAGAACACAAGAAGAACGTTAGAACATAAGAACACGAGAAGAACGTTAGAACATAAGAACACGAGAAGAACGTTAGAACATAAGAACACGAGAAGAACGTTAGAACATAAGAATATAACACAAGAACATAACAAAAACCCAGTAGCAAATGCCCCAACAATTGCCCACTCCCATTCAGGCGAAATTCACCTTTAAACCAAAAAAAACTAATTACCCCAGACGAGGGCGTGTTAGGAAGCCCCTCCTCAAAATACACACAACATACATACAATATACATATATATACAACGTCTACCCCGCGAGAGAGAGACAGACAGATACAAAGCAAATAAACTTAAGTGTTGCTTTGCACTGAACAAATACAAAATGGTCACAATCGACTTGAGAATGGTCTAGGACACAATCGACTTGAGAATGGTCCAGGACACAATCGACTTGAGAATGGTCCAGGACACAATCGACTTGAGAATGGTCCAGGACACAATCGACTTGAGAATGGTCCAGGACACAATCGACTTGAGAATGGTCCAGGACACAATCGACTTGAGAATGGTCCAGGACACAATCGACTTGAGAATGGTCCAGGACACAATCGACTTGAGAATGGTCCAGGACACAATCGACTTGAGAATGGTCCAGGACACAATCGACTTGAGAATGGTCCAGGACACAATCGACTTGAGAATAGTCCAGGACGGACCGAAACGTCGTCGTCGTCCCTTCAGACCAGTGTGTGGTCTGATCAACATATTTCAGCCACGTTATTGTGACTCCTCGTCTGCAAATCAACTAGAGGCTAGAGGCTTGGGCTAGTCGTCCGGACGCCTGCCAGGGTGACCTATCCCTGAGCCACTCTGCCCTATTGGCTCGTTCATATTGCATAGCTTTAACAACCACAAAGTCTTCTCTCCACCGCCAGAGATCACAGTTGGACTCAAAAACAGTCCTCATCACTGTGAAGTAATGCTATTAGTACGCTGCTAGTACAAGCGATGTTACGAAAGATTTAATATGAATACGAATAAAGGTATTGATTACTTGGAAACAAATAAAGTGTTGAGTAGTTATAAGTCTTAGTACAGTAATTGGAGGAGGAGAAGCTTGCAACAGCAGAGCTTGCAACAGCAGAGCCTGCAACAGCAGAGCTTGCAACAGCAGAGCCTGCAGACAGCAGAGCCTGCAACAGCAGAGCTTGCAACAGCAGAGCCTGCAGACAGCAGAGCCTGCAGACAGCAGAGCCTGCAGACAGCAGAGCTTGCAACAGCAGAGCTTGCAACAGCAGAGCCTGCAACAGCAGAGCCTGCAACAGCAGAGCTTGCAACAGCAGAGCTTGCAACAGCAGAGCCTGCAACAGCAGAGCTTGCAACAGCAGAGCCTGCAACAGCAGAGCCTGCAGACAGCAGAGCTTGCAACGGCAGAGCCTGCAGACAGCAGAGCTTGCAACAGCAGAGCTTGCAACAGCAGAGCCTGCAACAGCAGACCTTGCAACAGCAGAGCTTGCAACAGCAGAGCCTGCAGACAACACCAGCAGCAAAAAAATGTAAGAAAAATAATAGAGAGAAAATTTGGATGAGCAGGAGAAGGAGGAGGGGGGGGGAGTGGAAGGGGGAAGGAAAAGGAGAAGAAGGAGGAGGACGGGAGTGGAAAGGGAAGGAGGAAGAGGAAGCAGACATCAACCATCCCACCAGCCAGGATACACGTGGCTAGACATCACAAGCTGGTAGGTCGTACCTCTCAACACCTGTTAATTTAGGAATTGTGTAGAAGCGTCTGGTACACTGGTGTGTGTGTGTGTGTGTGTGTGTGTGTGTGTGTGTGTGTGTGTGTGTGTGTGTGTGTGTGTGTGTGTGTGTGTGTGTGTGAGTGTGTGTGTGTGGGCGTGTGTGTGTGTTTTATGAGAGGGAGAGGAGGGAGGGGGGAGAGAGACAGGAAGAGGGAGAAAAAAAAGAGAGAGAGAGAGAGAGAGAGAGAGAGAGAGAGAGAGAGAGAGAGAGAGAGAGAGAGAGAGAGAGAGAGAGAGAGAGAGAGAGAGAGAGAGAGAGAGAGACAGACAGAGACAGAGACAGACAGACAGAGAGACAGACAGAGACAGAGACAGACAGAGAGACAGACAGACAGAGAGACAGACAGATCACATATATATTACTTTAATACATCCAACCTACATATTATCATGGTGCTCTTTCTTCACTAGACTACTTCCTTTTATCAGACAAACGTAAGGCAATATCCATATTATAAGAAAACTCGGCATAAATAGTAAAATATTCATTAAACATTACTTATTATTACATAAAAAACAAACTAAATGTGTAACACTCCTATTAACACAACACGTCCTATGAGGAGAAGTTGAAGAAACTCGACCTCAACACTTTAAAAACGACAGAGAGGATATGATCACCACATAGAAGATTCTAGTAGAAAGAGGATATGATCACCACATAGAAGATTCTAGTAGAAATTGGCAGGAGTAACAAAAAATACATAACGTAGGTGGAAGTCAAGGTCGCAAGGTAGAGACCTAAGTAGTCAGAGGAACTCTCTCTTCTCCAGCGTAAGAGAAGTGAACAAACTGGATGAGTAGTGAATAAGAGTCACATTGCATTAAGTACAGCAACATAAAGTACGGGGGTGCAGAGCTGAAGCTTGACCACCAGGGTACAGATCATTGAGTACACATCTACAGCAATCCGGACGAGAAAGGTTTTCTGGGCGTTCAAACCCATCTAAGCCAACCCAGTACTGCACCTTACCTTGAGGTTACCTTGAGGTGCTTCCGGGGCTTAGCGTCCCCGCGGCCCGGTCGTCGACCAGGCCTCCTGGTTGCCGGACTGATCAACCAGGCTGTTGGACGCGGCTGCTCGCAGCCTGACGTATGAGTCACAGCCTGGTTGATCAGGTAACGTATGATCGTTATGACGTATGATCACAGCCTGCAGGAGGCAAGTTCAATATGTGGCTGTACCGCTCTAGGAACCACAGTGAGACGAAGTCCAAATCTTTTCTTTGAGCCTCGTCCGTGAACTACGGGAGTTGAGCAATGGATACAGGACTACAGAAGGCCGTATGTAGCTCGCAAAACTGAAAACAAAATACAGGCACATGGGTCTGAAGCAACGAAGTCAGGGGCCAGATTCACGAAAGCACTTACGAACGTGTACATCTTTCCTCAATCTTTGACGGCTTTGGTTACATTTATTAAACAGTTTACAAGCGTGAAAACTTCCCATTCAACTGTTGTTATTGTTCTAAACAGCCTCCTGGTGCTTCGGAGCTCAGTAACTGTTTAATAATTGGAAACAAAGCCGCCAAAGATTGAGAAAAGATGTACAGGTTCGTAAGTGCTTGCGTGAGTTCTTTCGTGAATCTGGCCCCTGGATCTCAAAACACTAAGGGGGGGGGGGGGAAAGGAAGGAAGGAATTATCAAGGAAAAGCGCCAAGCCATTACGACTATATAGCACTGGGAAGGGGTCAGGATAAGGATTTGGGATGGGACGGGGGGAAAGGAATGGTGCCCCAACCACTTGGACGGTCGGGGATTGAACGCCGATCTGCATAGAGGAAACGCGATATGCACAATTTGTTTGTGTTTACACAGGCGAGTACAAGAACAAATGACTTCTCCCTCCCGTTAGCAGGCTTAGAGCTTGCCCTTCCCATATCTCAAGGTACGCCTTAAACCCCTACAAGTTTCGCCGGAACGCGAACCCACCAATCTGTTAACAAACCAGGTATCTAATTACTGCTGGATCAACAGTTCAGGATTGGCGCCCAGTCAATCCTCCCTGGCCATGGACTCGAAGCAAATCGCTCGCTTTTCGTGGGGCGAGTGTGTTACCACTGCGCCACCACTGACTGTACCTAATGGAAATCCAAGAAGTAGACTAATAGACAATTGCTGTATTCTACAACACATGCGACCATTCATTAATACAATACTAACCAGCCTACATACATTATCTTCTACATAGACAGGGTTAGAGATTTATTAGTTAACATAATAATATTTGCCTTACTTTTATTGGAGTCTCAACCCAGAGGGGATTGAGGCCTTCGTACAGCGCTAACTATCGTATGTTTCCTCTCTTACACAAGCTTAGTAATGGTCAAAGTAAGGCAAGCAATGTTCAAAGTAACACAATCAATGTTCAAAGTAAGACAATCAATGTTCAAAGTTAGACAATCAATGTTCAAAGTGAGACAATCAATGTTCAAAGTAAGACAATCAATGTTCAAAGTAAGACAATCAATGTTCAAAGTGAGACAATCAATGTTCAAAGTAAGCCAATCAATGTTCAAAGTAAGACAATCAGTGTTCAAAGTAAAACATTCAATGTTCAAAGTAAAACATTCAATGTTCAAAGTAAGACAATGTTCAAAGTAAAACATTCAATGTTCAAAGTAAGACAATGTTCAAAGTAAAGATGAGAACGAGGCAACGTAGAGCACGTAAAGAAATATAGGAGACAAGTAAAGCCTCCCCCACAGTAAGGTCCAGTAATACTTTACAAGAGACAAAAAGTGTTGAAACTAACACAAAACTAACACAAATTATCTGTAAACATGAAAGAACATGTCCGAATGTTCAAATAGAACATGTCCGAATGTTCTCACCTAACTATGTGCTTGCAGGGGATGTGTGTGGGAGTGGGTGAGTGGGTTATTGTTGAGCTTCAGCTCCTAAGCATCGCCTCTCGACTGTACATCAAGTGAGTGAGTACATCTACAGGTAAGTCCTCTCCTCTTGGTGCTCCTGTAAGCGATTAAACTCGGATCCCCTGCCCCCCCCCTTAAGTTTAATCACCAGGGGTGTCGTTATGATTTAGTGGAATGACTGTTATTACTCCTGGATATGCATGACTGGTACCGCCAGGGCCCCTCCACACTCCCACTCCAAGAATAATTAGTAAACAAGGAAATTCATGTTTATACGTGAGGGAGTTTCCCAGTTCCTCTCCTCGCCTCGTTACCTTACCTTGAGGTTACCTTGAGATGCTGACCAGAGCAAACACTTAGAAAGTGAAGGGACGACGACGTTTCGGTCCGTCCTGGACCGTTCTCAAGTCGATTGTGAAGGGTCCAGGACGGACCGAAACGCCGTCGTCTCTTCACTTTCTAGTGTGGGGTTTGGTCAATATATTTCAGCCACGTTATTGTGACTCCTCGTCTGCATACCTTCAGATGATTTTGGGGCTTAGCATCCCCGCGGCCCGGTCCTCGATCAGGCCTCGTCGTTGATGGACTGGTCAACCAGGCTGTTGGAAGCGGCTGCTCGCAGCCTGATGTATGAGTCACAGCCTGGTTTATCAGGTATACTTTGGGAGGTGTTTATCAACTTCTCTCTTGACACTGTGAGGGAGTCAGCCAGTTATGTCTCTTATGTGTAGTGGAAACGTGTTGAACAGTCTCGGGCCTCTGATGTTGATAGTTCTCTCTTGTACACTGTGAGGGTCGGCCAGTTATGTCCCTTATGTGTAGTGGAAGCGTGTTGAACAGTCTCGGGCCTCTGATGTTGATAGTTCTCGCTTGAACACTGTGAGGGGTGGGCCAGTTATGTCCCTTATGTGTAGTGGAAGCGTGTTGAACAGTCTCGGGCCTCTGATGTTGATAGTTCTCTCTTGAACACTGTGAGGGTCGGCCAGTTATGTCCCTTATGTGTATTGGAAGCGTGTTGAACAGTCTCGGGCCTCTGATGTTGATAGTTCTCGTATCCCAGCTCCTCTCTTGTCCTCGTGAACTGTCAGTAACAACCCGCTTGATCCAGACGCTGCACCTCATCTTCAATATCAGGTATTCTACGTTGCCAGTGAAAGATTGTGACAAATTGCCCACGTTACACTAAACGAGGCCCTCGCCTGGTACCGGGTTAGGGTTCAAAAGCAAAGTTCCAGGGTCAGTTAGGGTTCAAAAGCAAAGTTCCAGGGTCAGTTAGGGTTCAAAAGCAAAGTTCCAAGGTCAGTTAGGGTTCAAAAGACCAATTTCCAGGTTCAAAGTTCCAAAGAAATGATATAATATGATTGTAACACTGCAGAACAATCTTCCACAATTAATACATGACTATAGACAAGCGTTATCATGGATCAGTGCCGAACCTTAGTGCCAAGAACCTTAGACCCGACGAAGCGAACCCTAGTCGAACCTTACCACCACGTTGGTAAATGGTTTGAAGCACTCAATTGACAGATTCAGATCAATCTGACCTGAAGATTGACAGGTCAGTCAATCTTCGGCTATCCTGAGAATCTATCGAAACTGAAGCAACCTGCCTTGAGGCTCATACGAAACATACTGTAGGCTTCGTACCTAAACCAATCATAGCTACTACTAGCGTTTTTCAAGCCTTAGGGAGTCAGTAATTTCTCTCATTCTAGACCTGGGTGTTTGCAACAATATAGTCTTGACAAGAGAGATGGGGATACCTAGGTCTATTTCAACTTCATCCTTGTAACACGCTAATTTGGCTGTAATGTCTGTGTCATTATGATGGGTTGTATTTATGAGAGATTTTTTTTTTTGTCTCCGTGGTGTAGTGGTAA